CGTTTGTAAAAGTGCTTTTTGAAGTGCAGGTGATTCTGGGTGGAAGATGAGGGTACGGTGAAAGCTAACAATAATAATGAGACTCTGCCAAAATCTCTAGAGTAGTCTTTTTTAAGCATGATAAGTATGATGCTAGGGGCTCAGTCTTTTGAAAAAATAATTCCACGGCTTACTGGGAACCCAGCATTTGTAGCGACTGGTCTTAATGAAGCCCAGATTTATGAAATTAATGAAGTCGATTTGGGGTTCAGAGTTTTTGGAATAGTTATCCCCTCCAAGCGAAGCGGAGGCGGGAAGGCAAACATCTAGAATAAAAGCTGCGGCGCTTGATTAGTGTTTGTAGCACTTTTTGAATTAAATTAAGTATCACTGAATAATAATATTTCACAGCAACTAAAGTATTAGAAACGCACTACCAGCCCAACGTTCCATTAGTACATGTACATATAAGACAGCGTCAAACAAAATGATACTTACGAACCTAAGTACGAGTCGCGATTTAAGCACTCTAAACGCGTATGTGTTGATATGCACCGACTCTGCAGTTCGGCTAACCGGCGTGACGTTCCACAATGGACCGGTACCAAGCCGGTTTATCTGGTGGATGGCCAGGAGCACTGAAGTTTAGAGGACATATTTAATTGACTTTAATCTACTCACTTCGGCATTTGCCTTTAGCAGCATCAGCAGGTTAACAGCCGCACTCAACTCTACCGGAACGTTCCAAAACATGAAGACGACCAAGCGCGCCGAAGTCCTCATCGGGAGTGGGAACTAGGCTCACTGGGAGTACAATATGCGCATGACGCTAGCCAGGAAGGGCCTGCTTGCGCATATTCAAGCCGTCAAGCCGGAGAACGAGATCACCGAGGCGTGGCTCGTCAATGATACCAAGGCGCTCGGCATCATCGCTCAGGGAGTGGAATGCCAGCATCAGACCAAGATTCGGTCGGCCACTCGTTCCATAGAAGCTTGGGGAACGCTGCGAGAGTTCTACAACCGCACCACGCTCCACAACCGCGTGACGATGACGCGTCGCCTCCATGAGTTCAAGATGGAGAGTGGATCGACTATGGCCAAGCATCTGGATGCGTTTGACGAGCTGGTCGTCGGGTTGCAGACGCTGGGAGAGCCCATGGACGAGGCACGCCAGCTGGTGGTGCTGCTGAGCAACCTCCCCGCTGAGTACGAGCTCATTTCGTCTATCGTGGAGAACGCCAAGGATGTGACGCTCATTGAGGCCAAGGAAAAGCTGTTGAAGGAGTACGAGCGACTCGAGAAGAAGGAAACCACGGAGATGGCGTTTCAAGTGAATAGGAACGCAGGCAAGTTCCGGAACGGCCGAGGAAACGGTCAAAAATGGAACGATCGAAAATGGAACGGTCCGAAACGGAAACGTTGGTTTCAAGGGCAAGTGTTTCAGCTGTGGCCAAGTGGGTCACATGAAGCGGGACTGTCCTGCTGCGAAGAAGAGCAGTCAAGACGATGCCGTGGTTGTAGTTGGTGGGGAACGCTCGACCGGGTGGCTGATTGATAGTGGTGCGACGTCGCACATGACCCCTAACCGGAACGACCTATTTAGGTACGAGGCACTAGACAGTGGCATCAACGTGACGATTGCAGATGGTAAGAAGCTGCGCGTCGCAGGAACTGGAACGGTCAAGTTGACTGGTTTGGACGGGAAACGCATCCGAATGGTAAACGTGCTTCACATTCCGGGGCTCGATAGACGGTTATTGTCGTTCGGGAAGCTCGCGGAACGAGGCATGAGCGTGGAGTTCCAGCGTTCCAGCTGTGTAATTTGGGGACGGAACGCTGCGATAGCGTCAGGGAAGAAGGTCGGTAAGGCGTTCCTGCTGAGCTGTCAGCAGGAGGAGGCACACTTCGTGCAATACGCCGGTCCTGACAGCGAGTGGAAGCTTTGGCACGCTCGCATGGGTCACCCCAACAAGGACGCGCTGACGAAGACTCTACGTTCCAGAATTGGTATCCCACATGTGAAAAATGGGAACGAGACTTTGTGCGGTGGATGTATGAAGGGAGAGCAGACCGTGACGACATTCCCGTTACGATCGCTAACGAGAACGGCGCGTGTGTTGGAGCTAGTGCACACGGACGTAATGGGCCCAATGAGAACGATCTCAAAGGGTGGTGCCAAATATGTTCTGACGTTCGTAGACGACTACTCAAGGTTTGTCGTTGCGTACTTTATGAAGAGCAAGATCGAGGTGGGCAGTAAACTGAAAAGGTTCAAGGCATTGTACGAAACCCAGTGGGGGGAACGTCTAAAATGTCTTCGTTCCGATAATGGAACGGAGTTCGTGAACAAGACAGTTTTGGAACTATGCAAACGGAACGGTATCGTGCATCAACATAGCGTTCCATACAGCCCTTAACAGAATGGAGTGGCGGAACGCATGAACCGTACCATCATGGAGAAGGCTAGAAGCATGCTGCACTACAAGTCTATGTCGACGCAGTGGTGGGTGGAAGCGGTTAGTACTGCAGTGTATCTAATCAACCGTTCCACGAACACATCAAACTATGATGTCACGCCGTACGAGTTGGAGTTCCCGGTGAAGCCACGGATGGAACACATACGTGTATTTAAATCACAAGGGTACGCTCATGTGGACGACGTGATGAGAACTAAGCTGGAACCCAAGAGCTTCAGATGCACGTTCCCCGGGTACGCTGAGAACGTGAAAGGATATCGTGTGTACGACATGGATGCGTCGAAGGTCAAGGTGACACGGTCGGTCAGGCTGGACGAGCGTGAGGTGGGCGGAATCTATGGCACGCAGTCGCCAGCTTCAGGAACAGTCATCCATGTGACGAGGAGCGATGATACGATCGTTCCAATATCTGAAGTGGAACGTCAGCCTGCTCAGGATGAACTGATGGAAGAAGCAGAGGAGCCTGCTCAAGACATTGAGATGAACGACCTTGAACCGGAACGGAGCGCAGAAATACAGCGGCTACCCGCGCCGGAAGGACCCAGGTTAAATGGGTTGGATTTGGCAACGTTCCATTCACAGTCTCCATCGTTCCATGAGGACCGAATGATCTTCCATCCTGAAACGGAACGATCTACTCGCCCTCGTGAACCGTTATTTCTACTTGGGAACGGTGACGATGAAGATGTGAAGCGTGGAAGTGATGGACCGCCATCTCCTAAGCGTGCCAGAATCGACGAAGATGGTTTGCTCGCAGAGGCAGTGTTGGCGTACGCGGGCAGCATTAGTGGCGTTCCAGATGCACCTAACACATACGCAGAAGCTATTGCCAGTAATGAAGCAGAAGAGTGGCGTCGAGCTATGCAGTCAGAGCTGAATTCGCATTCCCGGAACGGAACATGAACGCTCGTTCCACGTGGAATGGCAACTCGTTTCAAAAATGCATTCGTGTACGTATGTCTATATGTGGACGACATGATCATTGCGGCCAAGAATCGCGACGAAATTCGCGAGGTCAAGGACGCCCTGAAGAGCGCATTCAAGATGAAGGAGCTTGGCGAGGCCAAATTCAATTTGGGAATGGAGATTGACCACGATATAGAATGTGGAACGTTGATGACCAAGCAAACTCGGTACATTGACGACATTGTGGAACGATTCAATCAACGGAACGCTAGGATGGTGGAGAACCCTTGTGCAGCAAACCTGAAGTTGTCGAAGATGATGTCGCCGACTACGGAAAAGGAACGTGCCGAAATGCGGCCACGGCCGTATCGTCCCTAATCGGGTGCCTCACGTACATCACAACCTGCACTCGACCGGGTATTGCCTACGTTGTCACGCAGTTGTCACACTTGCTAGAGAATCCTGGAGCGCAACACTGGAAGGCAGCGATTCGTGCTCTGCAGTATTTGAAGTCCACTCACCATTATGGTATCGTATACAAAAGTGGAACGAGTGGAACGAGTGGATATGGAGCACTAGCTGTCAAGGCAGAAGCGTTTACGGACGCAGACTGCGGAAGCAACATCGACGACAGACGTTCAGTGTCTGGCGTCATGGTCATGATTGGGAACGCTCCGGTGGTATTTAAGTCCAAGTATTAGAGGACGGTTGCGCTTAGCTCAGCGGAAGCAGAGTACATGGCACTAGGCCTTTGTACTCAGAAAATACTGTGGACACGTGTCATGCTGAAGGACATGGGTCACGAGCAAGTGGGAGCGACGCAGATCTGGGAAGACAATCAAGGTGCTATTGCACTTGCAAGCAACGCTGGATATCACGCGAGGACCAAGCACGTGGATATCCGTCACCACTTTATTCGAGAGAATGTGGAACGTTCCACAGTCAAGGTGGCCTACATCGACACGAAGCAGCAGTTAGCTGACATGCTTACGAAAGCAATGGAAACGAAGTCGCTAGCGTTCCTTCGCGAAGCAAGTGGAATCAAGAAGATGAACGACGTGCAGTAGCGGTGAGTGGTAGTGTTGATATGCACCGACTCTGCACGGCTCGGCTAACCGGCGTGACGTTCCAAAATGGACCGGTCCCAAACCGGTTAATCTGGTGGATGGCCAGGAGCACTGAAGTTTAGAGGACATATTTAATTGACTTTAATCTACTCACTTCGGCATTTGCCTTTAGCAACAACAACAGTCTCCTCTATCTCTTGAGCCCTTAAATTCAGAATGCTTAAAACTGAAAAAGTTGTGGTCGTTAAAAAAATTATCTCCATTTATAGGCCCTCGAAATGACGATGCATTTAGGAGTGTTGTGGGCTCAATATTTTTTTTCAGTTTTAAAGATTCAAGTGTTATTTAAAAGCCCTTGTTAAACGCAATTGATTAAGGTTAGTTTTACAGTTTTTTCGATGGAAGTTTACACCAAATATCGGTCAAGTGCGAAAATCGATTGGCCAACTATAAGCTCGAATATCTCGATAACTCTAAATGGTTCGTAAGTATCCTTTTGTTTGACGCTGTCTCGCGTTACGCGTCACCACATAACGCCTATGCCAGTTGTGGCGTTTTCGTAACACTTGTGATGCACAAGAAGACCCTATCATTTTGCAAACTTTCCAGAGGTGAGAGGACAAGCATGCTCCTCCACCTGACCTCCATCCTCTTTCTTGCTGCGAGCACGGCTTGCTCCTCGTTCAATCCGCACGTAGCATATGTCAAAGAGCCTAGCACCATCATCTACGAGCCCAACGCATTCACTACGGGCGTCTCAAGAAGAGGCTTAAGGTCTCATGACTCGGCTATGAATGATGAGCCCAACACCGACGACAAGACCAACCAAGAGAGAGGGTGGATCGAGGTGCTCCGAATTAATCATTGTATTGAAATTTCAAAGCAATATTATACAATAAATGATTTATTTTTGAGGTACGCAGGAGGTGCTTCGTACGAACGGACAGCGGAGCTATCACTTTCAATAAATTATTTTCACATGGTCTTTCTAATATTGTTTTTCGATTACTTTCCCGTGTTTTCAGCTTAAAAACCTTTTTATATGGAAGGCTTATTTTGGCTGCAATTATTTATTTTCGCTGTTGATTTCAGAAGAACAATATCTTAATTATAAGGGCTGTGATAATATTATTGCAATGTTATTGTCGGAACACCTGGATGGATCCCATGGTTTGACAAACTGAAGATGACGGATCCGGAGGTCATTTTCCAACGTCTATCCAAGACAAAAACTATCGGGACGCTGGACGACAACCCGACCTACATCAAGTGGCTAAAACATGTTATCAACTACAGGAATAAGCACAGAGGAGAGCTGTGGGTCAATGATGGCAAGTATATGTTAGCCTGGGACGCTGGCACAAATCCAACCAACAAAGTGGCTAATATATGTTAGTCATCACTGAACCACAGTGATGACAAGGTGTTTGACTTGCTCAAGTCAGCGAAATCGGAAGAAGGGTTGGCCACACTGTTTGAAACGCTTCGGCAAGCCCCGAAGACGAAGAACATCGCAGAAAACATGCAAGTGCGCATGGTCTTGTCATTACCATCGAGTCACAGAGCAGTGAATGAGGCATGGCTGAAGTCGCGAGAAACTCCGCAGCACGTACGTCTTGGAGAGGCGTCACTTGATAACAATCCCTTGTTTATTCAGTGGCTTAGATATATCGAACTGTACGCTGCTCGAGTGGGGGGTAATTCGTATTCTGATATCTACTTCGTGTTGAAGAATGCGAAGCCCGTAAACGAGGTGAGATTTGGAACCATCTTACAATCGATAAAGGATACTTCGGACTTGAAGCCACTCGCCGGAAGTTTACAAACACAACTCTATCAGAAACTCACGTTGTCTCCACTAGCTTTCGAGAGGCATTTGTCGATACCGGTTTCAAACGTTGCATCAAAACTTCCACCCCAGATTCGGCAACTTGAAGGCGTACACCATATACTTCGCTGAACGCCAGGGTGGATACATCTTGGACAAGGTAAAAATGCTCGTAGCTGATGGAGATCTATTTAATGCAGTTACAGTCGCTTCAAAGGCGTAGAGTCTATCCCTTTTCTCGCCATAAATCAAGCTAACATTCGCGAGAAGGAGGAGCCTCGACTGCTTTAGAGCTTTCGCAATAAACATCATTCTCTTCTTGTGAGCTGTTCTATGATATTGTAAGCTATTTCAAACAGACGAAGGCTAGGAGCGGAAAAATGAATCGATACGGTGTTCAGATACTTACTACTCCGCACTCACTGCTACTCGTGCAAAACGTCTTTTGGGTTTGCCCTTGCTTTTGCGAGCCCCTTTTGATCAGCAATGATCTTTTGGCACCACTTTCAGCTGACCGACTTGATGGTAACGCTGTTCTTTGAATATAATAGGTCTTTCACTATAATTGCAGGATTCGCCCCATTTTAAAGTAAGGTTTTGACCTAGAGCTAATCAAATGTAGACTAAATAACCACTCTCATAGATCGATAAAAAATTTAAAGTAATATGTGGAAGTGATAAGAGTGATTCTGGCCTTTTAAGTAAATAGATAAATTTACCTACTGTACAAAGTTGATCCATTCTTCTTTCTGTCACGGAAATGAATGTAACTGGAGTTCAAGGATCGGTGTTAGCCGCTGAGGTGATCTAATAGGCGTAGATTATGCCAGCCCCCACTCCCAACGTCATGATAAGTGCTAGTCATACAGACTTTGGGTCAAAATACACCATGCCAAGGTCAGAACTAAAATTCTTGTTTATTATCCGTCTTCTATCCATAGGACCAGTGTTGGTTTCTGAGTGGCACTTGCGCTCCGTGCTGTTAATAGGGTAATGTTACATAGATCAAGGTCCCATCTAGCACAAATCGAGTCTGTGCTGTCTGTACAGCCACAACGCCACAATCTCGGGTAAAAGCCACTGGATTTGTAACCTTAAAAAAACGTAGCCACGGAGAAGCACGGCAGTGTCATGGAAGAACATGGAGTCAAATTTTTCGACCGATATAATGGTTTACTGACTTCTGAATCGTAATCGACAAAAACAAAATTTCTTCGTTGGGAATGTATTCTGAGAGTCGGTCATTACCGAATATTCCCGTAAGGCCCACACCAAAATGCACGGCACGTACTCACTGTCCATCATCGTGGTAACTTTCTGCGCGATTACCATGAGCTTCACTAGAGCCGACGATACTGCCCTGATCGACAACGCTCACGGTTTGGACTCCGACAGTGCCAGAGGTATCACCTCTGATATGAAAGTTCGCCGTCTTAGGAGTGAAGCTATCGTACCACCAATTGCCGCGTCTTATTACCGTATGCAGAATGCGCTGACACCTTCGACGCAATCGCAAATTGTACACGCCACGAAGAAGCATGCGCATGAGCCTACGCCCAAGTGGGCGAAAGCTGTCGGTGCTCTGGTTTCTCTTGGCTTGGTATCTGGAATTGGTGTTGTTTTATTCAAGTCATACCAAACGCTGAAAGATTCCGTCAGTTATGATCCCACTGAATCCACGTGAGTAAGTGCAACCCCTGCGTCCCCCCAGCTCCTAAGTTCTCGAGAAAGAAACGGTATACTGTACATTAGAATTCGCGCTTCGGTGCTATGGCTTCAGCGAAACGAAGCCAGACTCCATTACGGTAAACCTGTTCTAAATAACCTTGAAAAACATGATACCTCTCGTCTCGGATGCTATCAGCGGCTATAGCCGTATACTGTATTTATAGTAGTCATTTTAATGTCGAAACTGAATAGACACCATCCATCTCTTACTTGCATGATTTGCTGCTAGATTAATGAACAACAAGTAATGGATGTACGATAATTATAAAATTATGACCTTCGGCGTTTATCGACAGCTTCAACGCGATAAGTATAACCGATCTTTTCCTTTGATCTGATTAGGTTTAAAATTACTTACTTTTAACTTGGATGACGGTGTGTATCTCAAAAATCCAGAGTTGTTCTGTGCGAGCGCGCGGCTTTGTATTTTGATTGCTTCAAAGTTAAGATTGGGCATTACATGTATTAGTGACGGCAGCGCTGGCTTTACGCTGGATAGGAAGGTGACTAGATTACGATAATGCATGATCTAATACAATGCCTGTAATCATGTATTACGAAAACCAATTCATATATATGTGCTTCACCTCGCAACGCACTTCTAAACTCGCCGACAATACAGCTCGTCGTATTCGGGAGATGGATTTCGCAGCTGCGCTACTGCTGTGTCTCCAACTGCTGCTCGCTTCCGCACATGCCGGTACAATTAACCATGATCAAGTCCAGCCATTCGCCCAGCCCCTCCCAGTTACGATAAGTGAAAAGACTGCCGTCACTTTTAAACCGCAACTACTTGTTGCAGAAGGGTGCGCTTCATTTCCGGCTGTGAATGCTGCTGGTGAGGTTAGCGGAGGGATCAAGGGGACGAAAGGCACGGAGGGCTGTACGGATGCACCGTTGGGGTCTCAAGTGTACGGTCGATCGAGATGGTACCGCGATAAATGGGCGATGGTGTTTGCGTGGTACTTTCCAAAAGGTTTTTAGAGTTATAAAGCAGTAAGTCGTCACTACTGGGCAAGTATGGTGCTGTGGCTTGATAATCCGGTGCTTGATTCGCCCAAGATTATTGGTGCATCGCTGCAACAACAGCTCCTGAAAACGCGAGGGCTTAAAGGATTTATGTTTACTGAACCGAGGGAACCATACTACAAGCAAACATACATTGATCCGATGTACTATGTTGGCACGCAGCGAATCCGTCGTAATAGAATATCTTATCGACATTGGAATTTCACGATCATCCCAGGCTCAAACGAATCCATCCGGGTTTTCCACACATACTGGAACAGCTTTGAGTGGCTGGCCTTACAGTTTTCTGAAACGGACGGCCAGTATCAGGATCTCATCATGTGGGAACAACTTACGGACGAAGCGCGTACAGCACTCATTACGGTGGATTTCGGCGAGTCAAAGGTCCCCTTTAGTGACAAAAATCTCGACGAGACACTTAAACTTGCGTGGCCGTTTTAGCTCTGCGCCCGGGTGCCTTAAAACGAGGCGCGAGCACGAGATTTACAACTAGGACGGCTCATGGTCATTTTTCATAGATGAATCTGGAAATCTAAAGTCAGTTTAACACCAAATACGCTTTACTTACATTCTACTTATTGAAGTATAGATTAATCATAACGTTAATGCTACGACCGATTCTTAAAAAAACTTGAAGGACTGACTCGTGTCTACACCCTTCAACGATCCCAGAATTGTACTTCTCGAAAAAGTATTTTCTTCCCCTGCGAATAATGTTGTACGATGAATCCATTCGCCATTTTTTTAAATCCGTCCACGATAAGAGAATAAAGTTGCATTATCCCACAGTTTACTCTAATAATAAACATCTAAAAAAGAGAACAATAGATCGAGGCACTGACAATGTCAGAGATCGCGGCTAGTGGTGCCACATCGACCTCCAAATGGCGCAATAATGGCGAGATTACGACGTCCAACTCGCACGAGTACACACTATGTCTGCTAGGTGACTGGGCCACCATCAACCCCACAAGAATAAACCCTATCTTGTCTCCAAATAGAGGAAATCCTAGTGAACTATCAGCTGTGCACGAAGTTTCGGTACATCTCGACTCTCCGATAGTTCAGGTTAGCTGCGGTTCCGGCTGGAGCTGTCTTCAATGTGAGGATGGACGAGCTTATTCGTTCGGGGACAACACATACGGACAGCTCGGACAGAGTCACGTGCGACCGTACGTTGCTGCGCCGACGCCATTGTCCTCTCCGTACTGTTTACAACCGCGACGACGTATAATTCGTTTGTCATGTGGAAGTGTCCACGGAGGATTTGTATTGGATGTCGGTGAGCTCTACATGTTTGGCTGTGGATCTTACGGACGTTTGGGTACTGGAAATGAAGCCAACACTAACGTTCCGACACTGGTAGCGATGAGATGGTCAGCTCTCCTTGCTGCGAACACAAAGCGTAAACCAACGAACAACTCTACGACGGATGAAGATGAAGACAAAGTGCGATTTAAGGACATTAGCTGCGGCGACCGACACACGTTGACACTCGCTGTTCGAATAACGCGAGCTAACTCGGATAGTTGGAGCACTAGTACGAAGACCAAAACGAGTATTATATCGTTTGGGGATGGAATGAATGGCCGACTCGGTCTGGGAGACGAGAAAGACCAACATGAAGGAGCTGTGGTGTCGACGTGGCTAGCAGCGTCAAGTGCCCCTGGGATCGGCATTCCTGGTAACAATGGCTACATGGCACCTCCGACAGTCACTGCTATCTGCGCTGGCAGTACTCACAACTTAGCTCTCACAGCTAGCGGAGATGTCTTCTCTTGGGGGAATGGAGTCGATGGGCAGCTAGGCCATGGAGCTGCAGTAAGTGAGTGGGTACCACGGCAACTCGAGTTTTTCAAGGACTTATCGATAAGTGACATTTGCTGTGGGACATCGGACTCAATGGCTGTATCTCGATCTGGTGTCGTGTATACGTGGGGGCGAGAGGCTGAAGGACAGTTGGGAATCGACTTGGAGGAAAATTCAACTGTCGGCGTGTGGGTCCCGCATCCTGTAACGATTCTAAAGAGCGCGACACATCGAGTCACGGCTCGGAGCATTGTAACAAAGCACAACATGTCCTTGGTCCTTGATGATAAAGAGCGAGTGTTTGTGTGGGGTGACAACGCTCTTGGACAGCTAGGAATGCCCGTATCGGGTAACACTACACTCGGTACAAAGTCGGTTCTTTCCAAACCAAAACAGCTCTCGTACATGGATTTGCGTGCTTCCAAACCGGCTGCGTGTAACTTGTCGACTTCGATATCATGTGTTTCAAGCTTGCGTGAGATTGTGGCCGCAGCGAAACCAGATCCGATTCGTCTAGGGTTGACTCATCTTGATGCTGGAAATGGATTCACCATGTTTGTGTTCGCGACGAAACCAGGAATCGGTACTACTACTAACGCTTTTGGTGGTGAAATAAGTGCCCCAGTTGCTTCTGAGGCCTTTCCAGAGACCAAAACAATTGCCCGTACGTGGAATTTTTCGTTGACGGATGATTTACCGATATCGGCAATCCCATCTAGGGAATCTGCTTACTTTGAGTTCATGGCGAACTACAAAGTGTATTTGCGCCCGGCGATTCCAAGAAGACGTGATGATACTGAAGAAGAGGACGAAATGGATAGGATTCGAAACATGCAGAGACCACCTCCTTACCGCCGTGGTCGGAAGGGATCGACTACCAGCAAAAGGGGGAGTGTACCAACTATGGATCCAAACACTCCATTCAGTACAACCAACGAAGACTACGCTGACAATACGAGCGCTTGCAACTCTCAGGCGCAGGTGCAGGGAGTTGATGACATTCGCGTGAACCCATCTTTGAAGACCATCATGACGCGACATTCTTTCAATAGCGCTGCCAGCACTCCGTCAAAAGAAGAAGAGGTCAAACGCGCTACCCCCAGAATTAACGATACACCTACCAAGCCTCAAAAGTCTAAAAGTGGGTTGTACCGATCATTCTCTAATCGAAGGCCAACTGTGTCCACGAGAAACTCAGTCGATTAATCAGACTTTACTAAATAAGAAATACTGTAGTTTATAGAAAACTCACATCTTTTTTAGTGAGCGAGAGGAGATCGCAAACTTTAAGTAGCCTCAAAAACGTAAACGATGCCACTTCGTAAGAAGGATCTTGACAGACACGGTGGCTTGCACTGTACACGTGCATACCGACCGTCGTGCGAAAGAATTTATCTGCGCGACTTTGGCTCTCTATGTAATAGCTTCGAATTTTATTTGAAAGTGCTGTTGTTGCCTGGTGTAAAGACAGGTGCAAGATTAATAACTCCAGCAAAATTTGTCAAAATGAAGATGAAATAAGATGTAAGATCTTCAAATTCCGAGTCTCGATTACAAAAAGATCACGCAGCGTACGACGACCTAGCGAGGTATCGTGATGCCCTTGTACGAGCCTATTGCCCGTCTCGGATTCTCACTGATCCTCGAGCTACGTGCTATGGGGATTACGTTGCCTATTGAGGTGCCACACTGCACCGACCTCGAGCCGGAGACGGTGAAGTTGATCCGCTCGAAGAAAAAAACTGGGTGAGATCTGCGCCTACGACGTCTGCGATCTGGCTGCAGGGGTCAGCAAATGGTTATGGACTATTGATGGGGAGGGCCAAATCCCAGCTCCATTCATTATGGGCCCATAGTCCATAATGGAGATACCCCATAATCCTTGATCTGCACTATATACACAGCAGAAAGTGTGGAGCAGAGGCACCATCGACGATCACCAATAGAGCACATTTATAATGCACTGTTATCGATGCGTCATATGTGATATTATTACGCTGTTGCCAATGAATAGAAGACACTAAATGCAACTGAAGATAGAGCTTTGCACCTTTCACTCGTACTTTGTATTGGCTACTATGGGTTTCGTTCGCGATTCCATACATTATGGCCATATATCAAAGGAATCCCATTGGTTTTTACGTACACCCTGGTGGCAAGCCCAATTGCCTCTGTCTGATATAACAGTTGACGCCACTTTGTATGAAGCTGAACTATCGAATCTGACGAGTTTTGTCCTTACACCCCCCCTCCGCTCCCAAACGCTGTATATAACAACCGAGGTTTGTCTTTCACTTAGCATTTGTATAATACAACATACGCTTGAAAAGGTCTAGCTCAACCTGCCCACTGCTAGCAGATCCATCGGGATGCAGATAGGCATGCGGCTGTGATGACATCACTGATGATATCTCCAAAACTGTATAATTCAAAGTTGTAAAAATGTAGGATGTTACCTTCGACGACACTTGGTCTGGTCTCGGGGCCCTTGTGCTCTGCGTGTGGGTGTTCTTGATCTTGCAGATCTGCGCAAGTTGTTGGTAGACTGAGGCAACGGAATGTACACCGGTATCTGCACATTCAGTGCCTGACGTGTGCTGTTCTCTTCAAGTCGCGCAATAACAGGATCGGTCTGTGGTACTGCAACTTGCTGCTCTACATGTACTCAGGCAGTGGATCTGCCGGTGGTGGAGCAACAGGACGGTGCTGCCCAGGTACCGGTACAGCCACTGCATTCTGCACTTCACGCAGCTGTGCTACCGGGTCTGGATATTCCTTTACCAGGGCCTCGCTCGCTTCCATGAAATCAGCAAGTGTAGGTGGCCCGTACATAATACCTTATGGATCTATTAGGCCACCTTCGTTTTTGTCTGTATCTACGACGCCATTTGCAATCCGTCGAGCTGCAGTGCGCGATTGCTGTGGCGGCCGCACAAATCTTTGAAGGAGCTGACATACCAGGACATGCAAGCTCAGCAAATTCGGTTGCCTTGACAACGTGTAGGCATATCCCAGCTTTCTTATAGAACAGACACAAACACGTGCGTGCAGTAGCATCAACAACCCATCCACCGACGGGCATGTCGACCCAGCTTATTCTAGCGTAGGTTTTGGCCTCGTACGTACACGGATTTTTGGTATTTGCAGCAGGAGAAAGGACAGATTTTCCTGGCTCTTGTGATGAACTCGTGGGAAGCGGAGATGGTGCGACACGAGCCAGAGCTAAATTGATGTCTCGGTGAATCAATTCTACAGTCATGACCTTTTTATTAGTATTCCTGTAAGCAGTCAGTAACGTTTGGATACAGTAGGCTGATCGCTAAAGAGTTGCATCGAGGAGATAAACGAAATTCGTGACAAATCAAGGCGGACTACAAGCTTTGCCGGATTCGCCCGTTTGCTGTCATCACAAGTTTTAAGGTGAAGTGGTACTGCTCAAGCGGGTTGGTAGCAGCCGCGTAGCCTGTGGGGGTACGAAAAGCTTAAAAGCGTGAAAAGCGGGCGTCTAATATCCACTGCGAAATAATGTGATTTGCCACACGTCGAAACCGAGGACATATCATACCCGCTCCATGCCTTGACCTCAGAACAAACTCTCGTTTACGAAGATAGTGCTCTTAATCGGTAGTGTAGTGCAAATCATACAAATTCCGGAAAATCAACTGAGCTGAAACTCCATCCAGCTTTGCTTGTTGCGTTTGTCATTGTACATTTTGTGTAACATGGAACCAGCACATTAAGACCGTGCTATCAGGTAGTTCAGTTGTGCAGACATTGTACTGAGCTTTGTCAGCGTCCATCACGACAAAGTCGGGCGAAATTTGCACGCCAAACAATTCCAGAATCACATGTTTTACAAAAGCCAAACACCATGCAACGTCTTCATTGCGACGTTGTGGTGTACAGCAGTAAGGAATTGACAGAAAACGTCCAGCGCGATCTGAAATACCTACATCATAAACATGGTACCAGTGCTTTACGCAGTCGTGCATAGTGTCTTGTTGAAAGATCCGAGTTTTGCTCCACATCCACATAGCTTTCTAGTAGTCTTGTACATGCAATTCGAAATGGATTGCCTAACGCACCGGTGCCAAGAGCTGGTTCAATTACACCATTCATCACTTTGCTATCTCAAAAAACTAGCAGAGAATTTGGATCTTCTCAAACTCTACGAGAATCTATACAATCGTACATGCATTATCGACAAATCTCTAGCACAGGCTTTATTGAGTCCGGCCGATTTCTGCGCCGCCAGCCTTATTGATAGATCTGCGGCTTGGCTAGCGCTGGGGCTGGCCCCCTAAAGCGATGGTCTCTTATCTCACGACACAGAAACGCGCACAAAGCTTGGGTGTCTTCGAGTTTAGTGTCCAGATCGCTGCAACGCACAATATTGATGTATAATTATTGAGTGATGATAACTTCTTAAAAAACCTACTGCTCTCAGCAGCAAACTACTAAATGTACCATACAGTCAGCAGTTTGAACCGAGAAGAGCAAGCGACGCGCAACCCACGCAGTTTAAGCAATAGCCTGTTCCTCTAAGTCGGGCACGGGGCGCTCTACCTATAGACTTCAGTACTTCAGTGAAGTACTATCCGTGGTGGATATGTAGATGGACAGGTCACGTTTGTAGGTTTTAGCATATTTACAAATTCAACTTTTAAGAAAATGATGTCATTTGGGCGGCTGACCGTATTTTTTTTGTTTTGGTTGTTTCAAATCCTAGCGCACATGCTATATACAACCCTGCCCATTTTAAGCCTTTCACGATTGCGAGCTACTGAACACCAATTATCCATCGTCCGCCACACAAATGCTTTTAATACATATGAAAATATATTGTGGAGAAATAAGCCATTTAGTACCGATGGCAGCGCAAACTTGCATCTTTCAATGATGTACACCCTCACAACGATGCTTGTAACGTTTTAGGCCTGCATTGAGGACGTTACGGTGATCGACGCATTGCTGGCCTATCAGCGCAGTCAGCTTACAAAGTTTGCGGTATTCAGTACGTTACAGACTATAGGAATATTAGTCAATCTACCGCAAAGTGTCGCTCTGCAAGAACAGCAAGTAGTACACTCAAAGTAAACCACTCCATATTTCTAGAAACAAGCCAATCATGTTAGCTTTCTGTGTATAATATTTGCCAATCTCTCAAAATATGTTAGTAGCATACAGTTTAGTCAATATGACAGTAAAAAGGCTTTCATTTCTGGAGTTAGCTTAACTGTTGTAGGTGAAGGCGGCGCATCTTCAACCATGATGTGTACGCCTTGCTCTAATACAACTTTGCCGTCACTTTCTTGGCATTCTAGTAGCTGTACCGACAGCGACAGGTTTCACCAGACGTCTTGCAACGCTTGGAGGTAAACTTTGTTACTATGTACCGCATTTTGTACCATGCAGTCGCTAGGTTGTCCTCGTAGCTAGAGATGTGATCTATTGTGCAGTGATGTAGCTCACTAGTCGGTCGGGAAAAGGCTGGCAAGCCCGCTAAAACGTCGCTATACGAAACAGTGTCTCCTGAGCTCAACACTTTAGGCCATGGCAGGCGTCCAACATGACCGCCGTGTTCATCATCCATGCTGCGTGCTTGAAAACGAGGGCTACGTAGTTATATCCTCCTTGTGTAATAGTACTGCAAATAATTATACGGTGGCTAGATTTTTGTGTGGATACAACGGTGCTTTTTGCGAAACCTTCCATTGTTTAGTGTGGTGTGCTGTTTCTTTTTTGGTGGGTCTTTCTAAAGGACGCGCCTTATTAGAGTCCGGACAATATTTTAAAATGCCGCCCGAAAGTGACAGAGAGGACTTTATACGGGCGAGGACTTTATTCGTTGCTGAAATTTTCCGCGGTACAAGTTAAAAGGCGTGATGCCACCAGGCACATTACACATCGAATTGTTTTTCGAAGAGCACTTAGCTTTCACAGCCTTCAATATGTGGGCTCTCATGCTGTCCCTACCAAGCATTTACCTTCACCGTGCATCACAAATAGAAAAGCCAAATCAATCCACTTCATGAACAGCTGGCTACCAGCCCAAGGTCGGGGTTGTCGTGCCACGAATAGTGGACTTGGCTTTTTTTCAAAAGACTGTGAAGATTTTCCTTTCCAGACCAAACGTGGGGCAACTTTCGGCCTGTTGCACTTACAGCAAGAACGACTGTAATGCGCATCGAAGCAAAACCAGTGGAGCGAACAACGACATGATGGGCACCCGTGAAATCCAAAGTGTTTGAACGAGCGTCTTCGAAATAGACAGCCGTCTCGTCCATGCTGAGTTCTTAAACAAAATCGTAGGCGACAGCACGGTCAACCAGCATGTCGTCCTCGAGTATTGCTAGATTAGTCTGGCGGCGTAGAGAAATCTCAAAGTGGATCATGAAGTTTGAGACCCAGTTGTCCGAGGCAGCAAAGAGTGGTGCGTCTTGTCCTTTCGTTTCCCTCGCATAAATGATTAAGGCCATGTTAGCGAGCCGTCTGCGCGTCACCATCTCCTTTTTCGTTCGCTTAGTCACAAAATCCTCGTAAAGCAGTTCTTCTAGTGTCTCAGACCGAGGCTTGCAACCTCCGCCAGCAACTCGAGATTGATGAGATGCAGCATTTCAAATCTTCTCACGAAGGCGCCACCAACGTCGGACCGCTCCACCATCGGTACCTTAACCGACAGACAAAAAATGCGCGACAGCGCGAGTAGAGATCCCTCCCCCGACATCTTTAATCCACTTGATCACCTCTTGCCTACGAGCAATGCTAACCGACTGCCTTTGATGAGGCATTTTGGGAAATGACGGAAAAGCCCCCCTCTCTGTCGAATAGATGGTCAGCAAGTTTGTAATAGCAGGTTTGGTAGTTTGTAAAATGACTCTATTAGGGAGAGGCTTGGTTTTATTGTGGGTTCTACTCAAAACTTTCCAGATCGCCTGGTTTAATCGATCGATCTCAATCGAGCGTCAGTTGCTCGACCACTAAAGAGCATATGATTTCTATGCAAAATGGGAGGGACTTCTATTGACGCTGCCAGTCTCGAAGATGTCGACGACATCACCAGCACCAACATCTCAAGAGCACGTCTGAGTCTCCCCATATCCAGAACGGCGCCGCAGCCCGGTCTCGAGTGAAGTCTACCAGCCCGTGGTCTCCCACGTCTACCGGCTGGTCGTCCAGCCGATCGTGAAGGTAACAGTAGGCGAGCGCGACTCCTCCGGCAACACTCTTGATCCTTTTGTTGCTGGCGGAACTTCGTTCCAAGAGATATTGCAGAAACTTTGGGAGCAGTTCAGCCGTCAAGTTAAAGGCAGGGCAGTGAAAACCGAGGTACTTGGACCATTATGCCTGCTACACTATCCAGTTGGACCAAGCTCATGGTATTCAAGGTGAAAAAAAAAACACATTGTCGATAGCTCAAATCCGAGGGAGACTGGAACATTTGGCTTCAATCTATGCACGACAAAACTGTCACTCTGCTTATCTACGATTATGGAGCTGGAATCGGAAGGAAGCAAGATCGTCAGACCTTCATGAAAGACTGCATCCGGCCTGCAGAAACTGACAGAGCTGGTGCATCAGCTGAGGTCTCGCTCCGTGAGATTGTAAGTCGTCTACAGGACACATGGGGGCTACTTACGTTGGTGAAGCTATAGTTTGGCGAATGTGGGCAAATGAAGTGACTCGGACGCTTGATCGCTCCACATGGGATGATGCAATACGAGCTCCAACGCCTTCACGCATTTTGAAACTCCCCCAAGCAAGTGCTTCTCGGATGCAGGAGCATCTCAATAGTATCAACCAATCAACACACATGGCGCTCGACTGTGTGAACGCATCCATTGCCGAGGCTGTTCGCCTTCGCAATGACTGGGATGCATATGGGCGACGTTTGGAATGCTTCGAAAATAAAGCCTTCAGACACGCAAGGCTCAGATCGAGTCGTTCCTCCACCACATCGACCTTCCCAAACCAGACGAACTGGCCGATCCGCTGGAGAACATGGAAAATGTTGAAGACATCGAGCACCAATAGCTACCGGGTTGTTCCAGTAGTAGCATTTATTCCTGATTCCTTTTTATTTTACTCATCAGAAGCATTCAAACTTAGCGTACGAAATCCTAAAACATCTTCATCTAAGATTTCCTCAATCTCGCCCAAATCTTGATGCATTTCTGGAGCTGATCGCGTCCCGGATGACAATGGTCCGACAGAATTGAAGGTACCGTCAGCCATCCAGTCGCAGTGTTCCAATACTCGGGCCATACTGACCCTTTCAAGGCGCCGGGACGTCTCCAATATGAAAGGCATCAAATCACGATCATTAAACTCCACGTAGAAGCGCTGGAGCGCTTTTTTCACGTAGCCAAACAGAAACTCAATGGGATTGAAAAACGGGCAATAACCAGGAAGAAAAATCGGTACAATTCCAATGCTTCTAAGATAGTGCACGATTTCAGGATGTCGGTGGATGGACGCCCCATCAAGTATCCACACCAAATTCGACCTTGGGTAAGGTTGAACCCCCGCCCTCTTGGAGTACGCAAAATCGTGGCAGCATCGCACGAATTGTACACGATCAAAGGTCCCCACAGTGCCGTAGTAATCAATGGCACCGTTAATATTTATGAAAGCAAGCAACGAGACCCTTGGCTTCCGTTGAAACTCACCGCAAATTGCCACCTTATGCCCTCGAAGAGCGTAACCACGCTTCCGCAGCATTCCCCTGTTGTCAAAAGATACTTCGTCCAGAAAGACAATATTTTGATGTGTCCAATTAATGTGGCTAAGCTCTTCAGCGAAACGAAAGATGTCACGCTCTTTTATATGAATCGCGCGGCGCTCCAATACTTTCCAAGTGAGACCAAAATCGTGTATTATTCTCCATACAGATGTCTTTGATATGCTAAGCTGAAACTGCTTCCGAAATGAATCTTGAGCCTCGTCAAGATATGACAGTGGTCTCTCCTCGAAAAATCAACGAAGCCAAAGGCGTTCATCGTCTGAAAATTTCCTGTCAGGCTTTGTTGTGATACGCTGGTAGGTTCCCGTCTCGTCGTACACACGAACCCAGTTACCAATAGTTTGTGGAGTTTTGTTGTAAATGCATGCCAGCTCTTTCCTCGAGTAGCCGAGGTAGTAGTAGCCGTACAGACAGTGCAAGACCGTGTTCTGATGGGCGTGCTGCTTAGTAGCTTCATCTTCCATCTTATTAAGTGACGCGAGGTATACAGCGACAAGCGATCCCTCGGCGACTCAGGGCCGCACGGCACGATGTCCACAGCGACTCAGTGCTACAGCAACACAAGCCCACGGCGGCAAGAGATCCACGGTGACACAGGGCCACGACGCCACAGGGCTACAGCAAAACGAGGTCACGTTGGGAAGAAAATCCACGGATGCACGACACGAGACCACGGCGACGAGAGATCACGGCGACACAGAGCCACAGCAACACGAGACCACGGCGACGAGAGATCACGGCGACACAGAGCCACAGCACCACGGCGACGCAGGGCCACACGACACGAGATCCACGGCAGCGAGAGATCCACCTTAGTACGAGGCCACAGCGACTAGAGATCAACGGCGGCACGATACCAGGCGACACGAGACGACAGCGACGAGAGATATGCAAACGAGAGAACCCACTAATTTTTTTGACCGATGACCGATCTCGGCCGATTGAACTGGCGACTCGTCGAACCAGTCCAGTTCGCAAAATATAACAGGAATTTACAATAATAGTGCAGACATGAAGCACCCCACATGACTCTATTCGGTAGGGGGCTTTTATTCGGGCATGAAGCACCCCACAGGACTCTATTCGGTAGGGGGCTTTTATTCGGGCGCATCAGTTAGTTATCGTGCTTCGTCTTAAATAATTGGTGCTTTCTTAAATCCGGTCAATGAAAATCTGTAGTAAGTTAAGGTTTAACATCCTGTTTTACAAAGTAGAACACCCTCCAATTTGGAGTCCTAAAACTACGCTCGAAAAAAGGTAGTAAGGTAGTACTACCCCCCTGTCACTGACAGTGTCAATTGTAGCTACTGGCCAAGTCTATTTCCGTCGCAGTTATTCACCTCTCACTCGAGAAGCAAAACCTTGCTTGACCTCGTTGCCGCCAACCTTCGTCGACAAAAAAGGAGAAGTATGCAGTCCCCACCGACTTCTCCATCCAAGAGTAGTGCGTCTCCTTCCAAGACAGAACTTCTTTACAAGGTGATTATCATCGGTACACAGGCCGTAGGAAAAACCAATTTGCTATTGTTTGCGGCACGCGGCGATCAGTTCGACGAGCGCAGCGCTCCAACACTCCAGCCTGAGTTTGTTACAGGTACTGATCGCAGTGTTTTATGCATGTCCAAAGTGATATTGTCTAACGACCAGATGCTGTCGAAAAAGTGAAAGTGCAGCGCCCGGACTGGAAGTTCGGAGAGCCAAACCAATTCATCCGTGCTCAGGTGTGGGATACTGCGGGCCAGGAGCGATTCCAAGCCATCTCGAGCTCGCACTATCGGCGAGCGAATGGTATAATGATTTGATTTTTAAATGATGATAAGCTTATAATCTCACTTTTTCTGCAGGCGCACTGATCGTGTACGACGTGAGCGACAAGAACACTTTCAACGATATTTTCCCGGGAGGCAAATCTGGCTGTCAATGGCTCAACGCGCTCAAGGAAAACTCGGATCCAGCACTACTTGCAGCCGTCATGCTCGTGGAAAATAAAGTCGATAAGCTCAACGAAACGACGCGTGACAAGACCAAGTTCGTGAAAGACCAAGAAGTCAAAAAGACTTTGGGCGAAACAGTATTTAAGAACCCCAAGTCGGGGCTGGGGTGGCTACACGACGCCAAGCCCGAAGAAACAATTCCCTTTCGGATCGCTAACAGCCTCATGTTCGCGCGTACATCAGCTCGCAACAACACTGCTGAGCTTTTTGAGCAGTCGGAGAAGGCAGTCCCAGGCCAAGCTTTAACGATCCAGGGCTTGTCGCTGGAGAGTCTACCCCTGTACGAGTTCTTGAAGCAGCAGCAGCCTCCAAAGCTCGAGTACGAACCTACTCTGGGGGTGAAGACGATTTCCCAAGCGTTGGAGGTGCTAGTGCTTCGTATCTACACTCGCTCCAAGAACATGGACGCAGGTGCTTCCAAGCCCAGTGGCAAAGCCTTTTGCCTGCACGACAATGCAAAGCCCAATTCACAAAGCAATGCCTGCTGCTGAGGGTGTAGAAGTGCGAGGGCTATTCCAGTAAGCTAAGAACAATGACAATTACATGAATGTTCACCTCTCAATAGATGAACTACATGTACCACTGAGAGTAAAGGAGCGAGCTTTTCCGAGCAACTTTAGACCAGCGAAACTCGCTTCGCTGCGAATGTCAGGCCCTGCAGGTATCCGGCGCCGCGACCATCAAGAGACTGTACGCGGTGTTTCGTCAACGTAGGAGATTTTCGAATTGCTGTTTGACAACCTTAAAGGGGTAGAATGTGACTTGTTTTCATTATTCGTAGCGCGACAAAAAAGCTCGCAGTGCGCAAGTTTTAGAATGGTGCCTGTGGTGCTTATCCGCAAGTACGCAAGGTCTGGCCTGGCACCAAAGAAAGTGAGACCGACCGAGCCCACAAGTTCATTCGACCCAACCTATCGAAGTGAAACATGCAGACCACCACGCTTAGCGTCCGCTCCAGCAAAACCGGTGCCGGACTGATGCCTTCAACGCGCACTAATTCATCGATGACGTCGTTGGCCCGCCCGCCGCTCGAGTACCTCCGTAAGATCCTGCTGTACTCGCTGCTGTGCCTGATAGCGAAGACTCCGCTGCGAACCCGTGTTTCAGATTCGCAATTCAGTATTGCCAGCTGAGGACGCACAACGCGCTAACGCTATTCGCCAAGTGGAGTCTACCATCGGAAGCGCGGTTCTTCTCGTTCATCTAACTTGTAAGCCGCCACTAGGACAAAAGTGCCCGCTTCAAGAGCACTGCAAAGACGAAGATCAGCCTCTTTACTATTAAGCTAATCTATTTATGCCAATCAGTGTCGTAGTTGCCAATGGCTGTGATGGCAACTTGCCATCACAGTAAAAACAATACCAGCGCCCATGATACTTTCACTGCTCCTTGATACTCGGTCGCTGGGATTTGATGCTTTTGGGCGGCAGCGGCACCGCAGTACAAGCTGCAGCAGAGGAATTCGGCATGTGACGTGTGACACAATACTTGCATGAGCAGTCGTAGTAAACCAAGCTCTTCAAACGCGCCAAGCTTATAGTGCTTCGTTAATGGCCACAATCGCACGTCCTTGATATCGTCACCGCCGAGAATATCCGGCATGACAACTATTAGACCAGCAGGCTTCAACGACTGCAGCGCGCAGCAACGCTCCTGGTTTCCAGGCTGGAAGGCAGGCATTCGCATGTGGGCCATTTTGCCTCCCAGCCCAGCCGCTGTGCAATCAGACTGTCCCATGCCAAGCTTTGCACGTAAAATCGAAGCGGAACGCAATTGTCGATATCCCTTTATATCTGGTCGAAACATTAACGTTTTATACCGAAAGCCATCTGCTATAATTAATTTATTGGCCATCACATGTCCGACGGCGAGGAGACTAAAATGAGAGCTGTCTCGACGATCGACGATGGCTCTCCCACTGCCATGTCAGCTCTGCTCGACGAGCTCCATTCCCACTTCTGCTTACACGTCACTCAACCGCAGCCATGGGCGAAGAAGCGCTGTCCAACAACGAGAACCCACAGCGCACGCCGCTACCAGCGTTGAGCATCACAGTGGACCCGTCTGTGGACATGGAGGAGGTGCAGGGTCCAGCGACGCACGACCATCTTGTGGCGCTCGAGAAGGAGGAAGAGCTACACGAGGAGAAGAGCAATGCGCATTCCGCCATGAAGAAGCTGCAACTGGCTTGCCTCTGTTCCTTCATCTTCATGTGCGTGCAGTTCGCAGGCGGCTACTACGCCGACAGTCTGGCCATCATGACAGACGCGGCGCATTTGCTCTCGGATGTCGCGGGCTTCCTCGTGTCCCTCTTTGCGATGTACTTGGGCCAGTTCCCAGCGTCTGCTACTATGCCGTATGGCTACCATCGAGCGGAAGTGATCGGCGCACTACTGAGTGTGCTGTTGATCTGGGCACTAGCCATCGGTCTCATGTTCACAGCCGTAAGAAGGCTAATCGACCAAGGACGACCTGACGCCGAGCAGACAGTAGACGGCAAGGCCATGTTTGTCGTAGCAGTCTTTGGACTGGGCATTAACCTAGTATTGATGAAGATTCTGGGCCATGGACATCACCACGGACATGGTCACAGTCACGGACATGGACACAGTCACGGGCACGGTCACAGTCACGGCGGCCACTGCGAGAAGGAGAAAGGCACAGTCGAGCAGAGCCCCAGTATGCAAGATGTTGTGAGGACCCCCATGTCAGCAATGGCGTTAATGGACGGCGTGGAAGAACCAACAACGCGTGTTTCGGAAGGTTTGGCGCCAAAGTCGTCAGTGTTCGAGAACATCAACGTTCGCGCTGCGTACATCCACGCTCTTGGTGACTTCGTACAGAGTCTCGGCGTGTGTCTTGCCGGCGCACTGATCTGGTACAACCCGTCGTGGCAAATGGCGGACCCGATAACGACGCTATTGTTCTCGTTCTTAGTGCTCGGCACGACCATCGGAGTGCTCACGCGTAGTGTGTACATTTTAATGGAGGGGGCTCCACCTGCGCTTGACTTGCGTGTAGTGGAGAAGCGGATTCGAGCGCTTGCAAGTGTGTACGACGTCCACGATCTGCACATTTGGATGCTCACTGAGGGTCATTACGCTGCCAGTGTGCATATCTTACCGAATGGGGAGCCTCGTGCAGCTCTCCGTGCAACACAACGTTTGCTGGCGTCGCTGGGCGTACGTCGACAGACCGTGCAAGTGGAAGACCCCACTGATCGCGACTGGAGCGAGGATCTTTACTGCAACTGGACGTCGTATTCCAATGTGGCGATCGGGGTCGAGAGCAAGATGTCGGTTCCGCGTGCAGGAACTAAGAAGGCTGCTTTTGACCCTCTACCTGGTGCAACCGACTTAGAAAATGTTTAGTTTGCAACGAAGTTATTTAAAATGCAAGATATTCTGAACCTTGTTTGTTTCTAAACCGAGATTTCCAAATCTGTGTTTACAGCTTCACAGATGTGGCGGTCTGAGGCTCCTCCACCGTCTTTTTGGGCTCCGTTTCAGAGCTAGACGCCTTCAGTGGAGTCTCTTCCTTCGGTTCCTTAACTGCAGTCGCGTCTGTAGGCGCAGCAGCCTTAACTTGCGTCGACGACTCCGCTGTAGACTCGACCTTTGGTTCAGATTTAGGTTCTGTACGTTTAGGCTCCATCTTGGACTTTAAGAACTCCATCAGACGGAAACCAGGCGTAGCGTGGTGGTCCTTGGAGATCTCACGCACGATATCTTTGATAGACAGGATACCAGCAAGCTCCTTCTCGCGGTCTTGGCGCAAGACACCAATCACAGGGAAGTGACGGCAGTTTGATGTGGCTGCCAAGTCCCAGCACTTCTCCAGCGGGTCCTCGATCTGCAGCACAGAGTCCACAGTCGACATGACGTCCGTCACGAGTAGTTTGGTCGGGTCTTTCACCTCGAACAGAACCTTGCGGATGTAGTCACGCTCTGTGAAGATACCGAGCACACGCTGCTCCTTGTCCACGACCAAGACGGCGCCAAAGTCGCGCTTAGCCATCTCCTCCACCGCTTCGGCCACAGTGATATTGTCATCTGGACGAGTGTTCAGGATCAGCTTCACGCGCTTGTGCTTCTTCTTCAACAGCGTCGCCGCCGTAACAACCGGAGCCGACAGCGTCGCAGCGTCTGCAGCTGCAGCTTCCGGCGTCTCAGCCTCGGTCGCTTGAGTCTCCTTGGGTTGGTCTGCCTCGGGCTTCGTCTTCTCCTTTGTCTCCACAGACGCGTCCGGCGCTGCCTCCTGTGCCGGCGCATTCCTCGAGGCTTCAAACTCGGCGAACGCACGCACAATATCCGTGATAGACAGCACGCAGCGCATGTCCTCCTCCTGCACCGAGCCTCGCTTCACAGCGCTCGTCATGTCGCCGCTGACTACAGCCAAGTGTCGGATATTCTCCTTCGTCATCGTCGCCAATGCACTACAGATACAATATTCCATCAGCTACCACACCATTTACACTAATACTCTTGCCACGTACTCGATGACTGTAGTGCTGGGATGGATACACATGATGTGCGAGGACATGACATTGTGTACAAACTTCTCCTCGGTCATCACTGTGCGTGGCGAGATCTTCTTGAGGATATCTCTCTCAGTCACGATGCCGACAATCCCTTCTTGAGCCTTCGTCACAATGAGCGAGCCGATGTTGCGCTCCACCATCGTCAGCACTGCGTCGTGCACCGTTTCCTACAGCCCAGACATCGTATCAGTCCTCACAATGCTATAATTTGTATAAAGAGCATTCGTTCTCACCGTGCCGGCGATGCTTTCCCACTCCTCAAAGTCGAACAGCGCCTTGTTCGTGGCTAGTTCCTGTTCGCGTGCGTTCAGCACATCCGCGATGGTCCAAACCTTGGCATCCTCAGCTCCAATGGTGCCTAGGTCGATCTTCACATTGTCCACGGGATCAGGTTCAGTCGCGTCTTCTGCTGCAGCGGCAGCAGAGTCTGAATCCTTCTTGACCTCAGCTACTGGAGTCGATGTCGACGAGTTCCAGCGAGCGCAGGAGGCTGCAAGCAGCTGGTGACGCGCGGTGACGTTGCGCGAGGGAGCGCTCGAGACGGCCAGAGTCCTGGAGGTCGTGCGCACCAACGTGCTGCGAGCTCGGAGCACACGAGAGATCATGGTTCAGCTTGGCTCTTTAGCTCGAACTTGGAGCTTTGCGGTTATGAGGATCAGTAATTCAATTATAATACCGGTATACTGGTCAGATGATGGGTGAAACGATCTAGTTTCTGATTGGATAAGATGGGACAAGTACGTCAGTACCGACTTAGCTACCGGTTATGAAGTTTCAGTCAAGACGGTATTGAAGCGAATGCCTTCGGGTCGATGACTCCAGTGCGCGTCTCCGGCCAAGAAGTCGCTACGGACGATCTTGCTGCGCTCCTTGACTCGACCCAGACGCTCCCATTTCACATAGACACCTTCGACGGGTCCGTCGTAGAACTGAGAGCGTCGTTGCTGCGCCATAGCGATCAGCTCGTCTCTCGCAGGCAGTACGTGACCTTCCCAAAGTTTAGGCACCAGTTCGATAGCATCATCGCCTTGGCAAGCTGCAGCGCTGATCGACAACAGCTCCTGAAGCGATGACCGATCCCAGAACTGTCCTGTCTCGCGGTCGTATAGATCGAAGGCGTAAAAGAGACTTGCCAACTTGGAGTACGGGATCGAGTGGGTCGCTGCCAGCCACTCGCCGTACAGGATGAACCGCCCCGGGAACAACGCGTCACGATACAAGATCTCGTGTAGCACCGCGCGATGAGACTTTAAGAAGCTGTCGACATCTCAGAACTGTCGATGGCTCTCAGAGTTGATGACATGCGAGCGGTTCTGCACAATTAGAGCTCCTTCCGGAGACAGCGAGATGCCCATGTTCGCGCCGTCCACTTTCTCAGTGATGACGACGGTTGTGTCGCTATCTACAACGAGTGCTATGTTGGAGAAGTCGCTGACCAAATCGTCGCTTGTTGCAGCTCCTAAGTCAAGAAGATGTGGCGTTCGCGGGAACTTGAGCAGTGGCAGTGGGGGAGACAAGAGATCTACCAACTCCAGAGCAGCCTCAACAGATGTGATATGGACGAGCGTCTGGAAACCTTCGTCTAGCTCTGGAAACTCGAACGTACTGGAGTGCTGGCGAATCGCAAAGCCTACACGACGTCCGGGAGGGAGCGTCGGATGATCAACACGCTGCATCGCTCGCGCTTCGCAGAGTTTTGACGGCATGTCAAACACAACTACAGTGGCGTGTTGACTCCAGGTAGCAGCCAGACTGAGAAACTTCTTGCGATCGGCAGCAATGCCGTTGCATCTGTCCAGGATAGCTCGTCGGATACCCCCTTGCCCGATACTCCGTTCGCAGCCCTTTCGACCAATTTCGTCGCTGGTTATCTCAGTCCAAGGCTGATAGAGAGCGTTGCATGAACGGACGACAAAGGGCGCTGCACGTGAAGCTGTGGTGCGCTTAGCCAGTGCTCGACTTAATGAGCTCTTACCCGAGCCTGGAATCCCAGAAAGTACTAACAGATCAGTCCTCTCGATTGGCTTGCCAGTGAGCTCGGCTCGGCTCGGCATTGGCTGTGTTGACTCCGGTGGGAACACACCTTGTCGCTTCCAGAGAAGAGAACAGTAATTACTCACAGCCTCTTCCTGCTCTTTACTTTCTATACTTCCAGGCCTCATCTCTCGCAGCAGGTCAACAGCTTCCGCCGCTGTCATTACAGGCTGCAACCATCCTTCGTTTAATGCCTTACCGTCGTCCAGCTCCACTGGTGGCGGCTTGAAGCCAAATGCTACGAGATAACAAGCCACCATGGTACCAGCACGTCCTTTGCCTCCACCACAGTGCACAAGTACAGGCACCCCAGAACTGCAACATAATCTCATGAACAAATCAGTTTGTGGCATGCTAGGGGCTTTGTAATTGGCCACGGGAAGAAATGTGTTCTTAACATTCGGAAGCCCGTCAAACCACGCTGCAGGTAGTGGCTCCTCCTCCGTCAATGTAACAACATGTCGGATATGCAACGAATAGCAAAGACAGCGAATATCGTCTCGATTTCGAGGTGTAGACATCGCTGCCAGTTGGAAGGGTACAATCCACCGGAAGAATCGTGGAAGCGTATACTGCTCCATGTGATTTCCTACCGGAGTGGACGGCGTCGTAAGCCGCTCTCGAGAAGGATACGAAAGCGTCACTGACGTGTTATGAGTACTGTCTCGTATTGCGATCCATGTTGAAATATCCCACGGTCGACATAGGAAGCCCCGCAAGGCCGAAGGTACTTGCTCTGTTTCTCCAGTGACAAATACTGGACCCCATTCCGTCCATCTCGCACATTTTTAGAGTTGAGTACAGCAATGTCTCCACAATGCCGAGTCGCGTCCTTCATCTGCGTTTTTAAGGGGTCTTCTAGTCATACGCTCGAGTAAGTATCCAAAGCTGAGCATGGCCAGCTTTGGTCGCTCTAACAGCAAGGCTGCATCGGCCAGGCGTACCCAACCACGCATCGTTTCTTCACCAAATTTTGTACACAATAACGTAGCAATCTCCATTGCACGTTCAAGTTTGTGCTCCAGCGTGACCTGTCGACTTAGTACTTCCAGCGTTGACTTATCCAGTGATTCTAGACACGAATTGTCCAGTAGTGCGTCGCACGTCTTGTCAATATCGTGGCGATTGGAAGTCGATACAGACACGTGAAAATCCTTCAGTGGAAGCCCGTACTTCGTCCTAAACGCTTGTGCTTTTGGCCACACGAATACGACGAAGTACACTCCAGTCGGTACTAAGGCTCTCGTCGCTCCGTTGCCACCGCCCAATCCAATCGTGAAGCAGCGCGTCGATAGCGATTCAATTGCTTCTTGCACTGCAGTGGTGCTCAATCCACGCAGTTCGTCTTTTGTTACGAGAGTCATGTGCCATTCGTCTTCAGGAAGCATGGGAAAGCGAGGTTCCATCCCCAGCATCAATTGGATCTGCTTCTTCACAGAGGAGCCGGTAGCGAATCGAAGCGCCAAACACCCGCGATATCGGATAACTCGGTCTTGGCTGCACATAATAGACGGCGTCGGTGGTGCTTGGTGTCGAATCGAGCAAATGGTTGTGACGAGCGGGAGACCATGACAAGAGGACCATCACTCATTATATATGACGTTAAGTTCGTGCGCACTTAACCTTACCACCAGAATGCGATCAATAATATTCTACAGCCCTCTTTTTTACAGAATTCAGAATCGCTCAAATCGCTATATCTCCATTTAATAAGGGTATCAGTTCTTATGAGCTCACATTTTCTAGCACACAGTACACCAACCAAGCCAAATGCCGATGCTGCTCCGCACGTTGGTGTCGGCGTTGCGCCGCCCTCCGCATCCGTCTGTTCGTCACCTTCATGCGTGCACTGCTCTCCAGGCTTCTGCTGCATCTGTTTCCGTCGCTGTTGAACCCAAAAGCTCATCTTCCAGCGTCAATGATAGTCAAATATTGACACTCTTAGAGCACTCGATCACCCAGCGCCTACCGACGCAGGCACTCGGCCACTTGGCACAGCTTCAAGCGCCTCCAGGTGCCCAACTATTGCAGAGACTAGCGGTGCTGCTGGCTCGACAGAAGACGAGTCGAGGCCATGCACTACGTTCCTTCGAGATTCTACGCGGAGTGTACCGAGCCCCAGGTTTAAAGCCCGACGACTACACGAAACTGGCATCCATTTACGTCATGGACGCATGCCTACGCTACCGACTGTTGGATCATGCAATGGAGGTGCGGTTTTAAGGCTTTTATTTGCGTTGTACGAGCTTTGAAAGTGAATTTATTAAGTTTTTTTTTTATGGTTTTTTAGTTGTACGATGAAGCTGTGAACCAGGCTGTGGTGCTGGACTTGCCGGCGTATGACGGACTGCTGAGAGCGTTACTGGATGTGAAAAGGGTAGAGGAGGCCACGGAAATCCTCAGAGAAGTCGTGAATGGTGAGGACGTGTGTCCCATGGAGCAGACCTTCTTGCCTGTGCTCGTGGAGCTGGTGAAGAGCCGCGAGTATGACGACGCGACGGAGCTCATGAGGCAGGGACAGACACGTGGGGTGGAGTTTACGGGCGAGACGTTCCATCCGCTACTGATGCTGGCAGAAAAAGACACAACGTCGACGGACTCGCTCATTAAATTCCTGTCATTTGTTGAGGACGCCTGGGAAGAATACAAGGTGCGGTGATTAAGAGACGGCAATGTGATCGACCGGAAACTGACTTGTGTTTATGGAATTACTAGGAATTTGACCCCGAGGAAGACTTGGACGACCCAGAAAACCCCTTTCGTAGTCTCTAAACACAAAGATGTGCTGCTGTTTTGCTTCGCCAACTTGGCAATATATGCTCCGAATGAGCAACTTTGAACGAAAAAAACTATTTTTTTAATGCACAATACGCGAAGATACACTTGGACCAGAACTAAGTCTGGAAGAGGAGCTACTTCTGGCGCCTGGCACAAGACGACCGACCTTGGGAACCGCTCGATTCGCCATTCCTAGTTTCCTGACCTCTGGCAAAGAACGCTGTGGAGCCGAGTTATTGTTGCTGTTGTTACTGGGTGTCTTAGGTCTCCGATTAAGCGACTTGCTCTCGAGACAGCCGACTCGCGCTTGGAGCTTGGAGATCGCTCCTTCATAGAGAGCCTCCATCTGCTGGATCTACAAACGTGAAGTTGAGCTTATCCTGTATGTTATCCCTTTAGATACAGGTTAAATCTGCGTACCGCTTCTTTCGGCACAAAATCTGTGTCGATTTGGTCCTGAAGTTTCTCTCGCTGAGACTCGAATTCCACCATCTTTATAAATCACAAACAACTGTGAAATAACACACGTTAACACACTAATAAAACACAGCATACCTTGGCGTGAATCGCTTTGAGTTCTTTCTCCATTATTGCGACGCTTGATAGCGCCGCATCTCGTTCTTTCTCACGGTCTCGCTCTTCCTGAACAAGCTCCGCAATACGTTCCATTGTGTCTTCCTCAAGCTGAAAGTATCGCAGCTTGAACTCTTTGAGCTCCTGCAACGTGTGCAGCACTTGAGTCTTCTCTCCTGCCAGTTCTCCTTCCACCTCGTGCCATTCCTGTGAGGCTTCGTGTGCCAGTCTTTTGTATGTTTCGATATGTCGGTCACAAGCAGATTTGACCTGTGCCACATCCTGCGCATGTCGAGTCACTAGCTGCTGGAGCTCCAGCTTCATACGCTCCACTCCGTCCCCTTCAACGTCAGAAGTAGTGGAGTGTCTAGTAACTGTTTGAGCTGCCTCAAGCTCGAACTCTAAGTGCTGTACCCTTAACAAAGCCTTTGTAAGCTTATCTTCTGCAACTGCAGCGCGGTTCTTCTCGTCGCTAGCTGTAGATTCGGCTTGTTGGGAACGTTGCTGCTCTTCGTCCAGAGCTTGGCGCATCTCTTCATAAAGCGTACGGTAGTCGAGCACAGACAAGGCGGAGCGGTGTGCTCGAACAGCAACCTGCATCGCTCGCTGTCCGAGCTGAAGTGTCTGCAATGTCTCTGGTGCTTCTGTGACTGCAGGAGTCACCGTAACTACGAGAGCGGTCTTGGCATTGCCACCTAGACTGGACTGCAACAAGCGAGTCAGTTTACTGTCCCGGTACGGCACGTGATAGCTCGTTTGGTTCTGTTGGGACTGTTTACTGAGCGCAGAGATACAGTTACCCAAGGCCGAAAGACTCAAGTTGATCGCCTTTAACTCACTAATGTGTCGCCCATACACTCTCGCCTTCTTGACACGTTCAGAGCCTGCTAGGTCCACGAGATACAGGTTACTTAACCGGATTACCGGTTGTGTCATACTCTTCGGTGCATCACTAGACGCTGGAGGTGCAAACTCCTTGCGTTCCACACGAAGGATGAGGATAGCGTGGCTTCGACTCGAGTGGGCATTCATTTCTGTACTGGAGACAGCACGGTTGGCATTGCCACGTTCCATGAGAGACAAACAGTCCTCAATGTTGGATACGTAAACTGCAGCCGCTCCGTCAATGTAGACGCCTCTATCTGCGTCTTCACGCACCAAGATGTTACTAGGCAAAGTCTCTGGCTCTAGCAAGTCGAAGATACGTTCACAGTAGATCTGTACGTAGCTCAACGCGACTGTAGTCTTCGCATGCGAGCGAGTCTTCTCAGCAAGGTTAAAGATGTCTTCTAGTGCACGAGGGATAACGCCACGCTGGTCTCCGTGCACCAAGTCTCCAGGCCCCACCATCGTGTGGGTTTTACCTGTTGCAGTCTGGCCGTACGCCAAGATGGTACCGTTGTACCCTGCCATCACATCTTCGACAATTGGAGCAGCCACACGTTCGTACACAGTCTGCTGGTCGCACGTTTCGTTGAGATTGCCATCAAACTGGAACAACCGAGCTTCTCCGTGAGCTGCAGTGGGGGCTTGGAACGTGACACTGCGGCCATCAGACTGCATGGTGACTGAAGGTGTCAACGATCCTGTGCTTCTTCGACCTTTTTCAGTGATAAACGTTGCTGGATCATCATCGGAACCCTCGGGCGTGGCTTCGGTGGCAGGTTGTTGAGTGTCATTGGCATCCCGACGTTCACCGTCCTCTCCGAAGTGTTGACAGTATTCCTCGTAGCCCCATCCGTCGCGTTCACGCTGCAGTAGAGGTCTCACACGACAGAAAACCTTCACCCGTTCCACGGCTCGAGCTTCAGTCTTCATGGTAGCAGGGACAGCGTCCATTCCCAAGATAGTGACGAAAATGAGCCGAAACGATCAGACTGGGCAATAGAACACACAGAGTTCGACAAAACTCCACGTGCTTCTTTTTTTACTAGTGCTCACATATCAGTCAGTGCATTTAGTCATCTCAGTGAAGTCACCGCCGTGAACGTGGAGAGCAAGCGCTAGTGCTTTTAAATATGTGTACTTGAAGTCTATAAAAACCGATGATGGGGGCAATTACATGTACATGCATTATTTTATTTTTACTAAGCTTACTTCTGACCCACTTTAAAATGACAATTGTTTTTTTTTCAAAGATTGTAGGAGAGCAGACGATCATCTGTATTGTTAATGCCGTGCCTTGCACGGGACCTAAGTTACTGTAGCGGGTTCTTTCGAAAAGTGTACCGCTATTAAACTACAGTGGTCACGGTAATGAATCTCATTGAAATTATTTTGTGTGGAGTAATTGTTTTATCTCACACAGCAATTGATCTCCGTGAGAGTATTAATGAACTCCCATTAAATAGTGTTTGGTAAAATAAATCTCATTGCTTTTGTTTTATGTAGCCCTGAAATTAATCTCACATCTACAGTACATGTACAGTGGCAGAGAGAATTATAAAAAAAACATCATGAAATGAAGAAGGCTTAGACACAAGTACATGCAATCATAATATAGAGCCACAGCCAATTTGTACTTTTGTTGATATTATAAAATAGATACAGTGAAAATTTTCTTAAGTACGAACATCAGTGTTTACAACGAACGGATGCCAATTATTGGAACAGAACACTCCAAAGAACATACATCACCACAGACCTAACTCTAAAAGGGACCCGATGCACTGCTGCTGCAAGACTTGAACTCACAATGCAGCGATTGGCTAGGGCGATCACTACTGCACAATAAGCAAGCCCAATAGTGAGTACAAGATATCAATCACAACTGAGATTAAAATGAACTCTGAAAAAGTTTGTTCACGTAAATTATTCTCAGCAAACCTGAGTGAGAATATTTAGTGTATGAGATTATTTATCAACTTCGGCTAATTACCGTGACCACTGTATTAAAACTGGCGTAGAAAAATTAATGGCAAATCTACAGCCCATGATTTCTACACTATGATTTATACATGCTTTGGCCCATGGCTGACCATGTTTGTAATTTAAATTATTTTTCCATTGTAAAATACAGGCAGGAAAGCCAGTCATTTGTCAGACACGCATCACGAGAAGGCGAACCGCTCGCTGCCCCGCGCGTCCTGGCAAGACCCCGAGACCCCCACCAACCGAAAGCGACCTCTCTGCCCCCCCCCCACGTCTGCCTGCAGGTACGCAGAATCTGTTATGCTCCATCATCTTCATTGACGCGTACAGGACGCATACTAACTCTTCCTGCTGAATCATGTTGTTTTGGACTGTAGAGGCGTCTCATCAGCCCCAGAACCTGATTCCAGGCCCCTAATCGTCTCTGTGCTCGCTTTAAAAGCTCCGAAGTAGAGAAACCTCGAAGAGGTGCGAATATGTTTGTTGATTGAATATGGATGCAGCTTTTGCTAATGAAATGCCTGCAGCTCGTTTAGAATCGCTTACACGCGCAATACACCACCGTGAAGCAGTTGAGAAGCACGACCAGAGTTCTCTACAAAACGGTATGACACATCTAATACGATGTTACCATGCGATGCATGTTCGACAACTAACTCTTTAACTAACTCTTAGTGTACTACTGTCACTTAGTAACCACTGCATTACTGTCACTTGGTACTCGCTGGAGTTTCAGCTCAGGTATGTTTGATGCAGGACCTTTGTGGCGATGATAGATAGTAGGTCTTCTATGTTTGTTCCATGTTTCTCCCATGTATTGATGTTACACGGCATCATGGCTCGGACAGATAATACCGCCAGCATCTTAAGAGCCCTGGACATGGAAGTATCGTCAAGTAGCAGTAGCGATGCGGACAATCTGCTCGATGACGCTGAGCTGCAAGTCTCTTCTGGAAGTATGATGATGACCGAGGCTGTGCTTGATGGCGTACCAAATGCTCAGAACACCGATGATATTGTGGGGCCAACCCGAGACGTTGGTGATGATAAGGCTGACAGCAATTCAAAGGAGAATAGCGACGAGAATAGCGACGCTGCAGACAGTGGCGATCTTCAGCATTTCTACTGCTGCAGATGTCATCCCGGTGCCTGTGTCTTTTATACTGAGCTGATTCTCGCATTAATTGATGGGTGTGCCTCGTTATTGATCGACCAACAACAACAACCTACTGCTACGATAGTTTCGACAAGCAGTCGAACCAGAACCTGCTCGCAGAGTTGGCGGAAGAAATTAGGCGGAAGGCTCTTTCAGTGGAGTACCATGTCGTCTCGGTACACAGCCTGATCCAAAAGGACAGCGATAACTGTGGTCTATTCATCATCTTGCACTTCTGGCGACGATTCGTTAAGGAAATGGAAAGTGATTACACGACGGTGGGATTGCTGCGCCGGCGGTGGAACGTTCTTCGGGCCGTGGTGAACTTTAGCGAAGCGAGTAAAGGTGAACAGGACTAAGATGCACCGCTTACACGATGAATACATACACATTGCGCATTTCACTATGCTATACTAAGTAGTTCTGGATCATGCAAGATAAAAGGGGGGGGGAACTGACCGACACCCCAGCTAATCTCTCACTCGTCAAATTATATATCGTCCTGGAAACATGATTTAACCATGGTTATTAATGGCAAATACATGGACATCATTTATGACACGTGATAGTATTGCTCATGCAGTATGAGGGTCCGACAGGCGAAAATCGCGTTCAGTCTTCAATTATCGGATAGTGGTGCGAGCATGTTTTGGCCGTGACCCAGCATGGGGAATACATTCTCAAAATAAAATACCTCACTCCGTAATAAACTCCGGGGGAATCATGGAGAAATCATAGTAGCCATGGGCAAAATCCATAATTACTGTCCCCTAGCTCTAATAAAAACATGGGCTGTAGCACTGGGCAAAAATAAACGTAGCAATCGTTTTACTTAAAAACAGGACACATTTTACTGTACAGTATTCGGAGGGGTATATTATTTGGAGGGGGTACTTTATTCGGAAGTATATGCTAGAGAGGAACGTAGTAAGTGCAGCAGAAAGCGTAGCATAATTGATTGATAGTTATCAGAGCTTCTCCGTGTAAAACACGGCTTTGTGTGCTGCTTTTATCACATATGATGCTCGTTGCAGCCCACTGCTATTGTAATCGAAATAAGAGGCGACCGTGGGCGTGTTTCATTCTTTGTAGCAGATGCTGCAGCTGGTGCGCTGATGTGCGTATTGATTTTTGTTTAGCGGGTTTTCTCGGTCGAATTTGTGCAAAGCGTCAAGCCGATACACATGACTCGCGACTGTTTTGCGAGTGGCTTCTCGATATTCGTTATGTATACATGTAGCTCTTGTAGATCTGTATTTAGACATTTTGTTCTGACAGTGAATACGCTATCATACTGTACAAGTCGCACTGCGACCCAAAATAAGAAGTATATTGATGAAAGTGTGCCGGAATGAGCGCTAAGCTGATTGGCTGAAACCTTTTTTTTGAGGATTTTTATTGTGAATTACTTTTGTATTCTTGTGCATAATTTTACTTCTTTTGGGTTTGTTCATTTCCTGGCGCAACATGGCCGAAGGGAAGCGGAAGGACACACGGACGCACTTGACGTTGCAGCAAAAGGCCAAGCTACGCGCCTTCCTGGTGGCCAAATCCGACCTACCCCAATTCGCCGTGGCTGATTGGGTGCGTGAGCAGTTCCATGTGCGTCTGGGGCGTACAACGCTCTACCGCATCCAGCACGCTCCTGAGAGCGCTTTCACGACCGGGAATCTCAGTCGCAAGAAGCAGTCTAAGGCATCTGATGCGCCTGTGCTCGGAAGGCGGATTAAATTACTTCGGCTAGTCGTAATTTACAGTGCTGCTACATGTATTTATCAATTCCCCGCCCGACACTGCAATACCGCGCTCACCTTCGACCACTAAGACCCCATCCACGTCGCGGAACAGCCTAATGAATGAACAGCGATGACAGATCTACAACCACAAAGCCGAAAATCCATCATGGAGCCAGGTCCAGCTTGCGTTGTGGGCTCAAAACTCGTTTTTTTTTAGCTACAGCGCGCTTTACCACAGGCAACGATTTGAAATACCCTGAAGCACAACCGACTCGAAGCCTTACCATTGGAAGCTCTGACTGCACCGTTCGATCCGCTTTCCCAAGTTAACCTCAAATTGGATCGCAAAAAAAGCTATATACTTACTATTGTATTTACATGTACATGCAATGCAGGTGGATATGAGCGTTTGCCACCTCTTTTTAAGGAAAAATCAAGGAGCAAATAGCAGATTATCATTCTTCAAACGACCTTGACAGAATATAATGATTCAATAGTTAAGTACCTCTAAGATAATACACGTCATTTTTGGATCACTATTCACTAATGAGAGGATATAGGCCAGTTTATCTTAACCCTCCGCACTTATAGGTTGTATTTGACGGCATGTGACCAAAAGGTGCGCCATGTCCTGTTTTTCCACATGTTGTATATACAACATATTAAAGACACTGAAATGCACAGGGTTATTGTACCCGCCATAATACTTCGGACCAAGATTTGACGGCAATTTACTCGTAGAAGATTATAACTTTCCATATACGATACTTAGATATATAGGTAAATCGCACCCGTAGATTCCGAATTTGAAGTCAGATTTGACGAATTCGTACTCCTTCTACCTCATTTTTCTCTTACAAAACGTCGTTTTCAAAGTGCCAAAGTTTGGGGAAAGGGTTCCATTAGGTTTAGCCGATGATTCATCTATTTGCGACCTGTTCATTGGCTCAGACAACAAGCCACATGTCAAACATATGGGTGGTTAGGCTAATGTATCATTTGTGTGGTACAAACGTGCACGTCGGAATGAAACTTTACAAGTGTATCTAAAATCGTCTCAACAAAATTATACAGGT